ATATATATGCTGAGCGTGACCACTGATGATGTGGCGGGTGGGGACAAAGCTGGAAAGCATAATAGCTGAAAATGGGTGTGGACTTTTCTCAAATGGACTAAAATATTTTGGGCCTCCCTCAATTAAAAAAAATAATGAGGGGGTTTTCTCAAAGAGCCCCTATTTATTAATAGACATCTTTTTTTTTAAATATGCATTCTCATAAATTTTAATACAACTACATTTACAGTATTAACTAAAAATCTTCAAAGCTATATATTGAACGGTTGGCCTAATGTGGGTTAGAGCTGAACGTACACATGAATTTTCAAATAATTTAATTTATTTTATTTTACTTTTTTCATTAAAAGAAAAGCTAACAAGAAGAAAATAAAGTTTTCCAAGACACAAGAAAAAAAGTGAAATACTTAAATTTATTGAAATTGGCAAACAATGATAAATTAGATCACATTCATATAAATGTAGATGTTCACATTAATCCAATTTCTTCCGGGGCCACTTGTTTGCCGGGACAACGTTTGGAGCGACAAAACGACAGTGACATATGCCGTGGAGGCATACACCCTTACCTTCAAGGCATGCGTATCGTCGTTGACAATATTCTGTGGTCGTACATGTTTTCGGAGGGTGTCTTGTGGTTGGGGCGATTTCTTCTGCTGACACTGTTTTATAAACAAACCAAAATCTATTACATTCAAAGAGGTATATATATATATATATATATATATATATATACATATATATATCCAAGAACTGTAGTGTTAATTAGATAGAATTAAGTCAATAAGCAAATTCAGACATGAAAAAAAAAACGAGTTGAGAGTTGAGTCTAACCGATGGAAATAAGCGAAAGGATGACCAAGAAAATAATCATTGTTTTAGAAGCCATCATATGACGAGAAACTGAGTTTTTGGCTAACATAGTCATTCCGATCGAGGCACGCATGCATTTATAGAGGAATTCTCGATCTGGTATTCGATTATTTCAGTGATATTTGGAATTTTATCAATTTGAAGATTACGGTCATCTGTATAAGGTCAAAATAAATTTAATTCTCGTAATTTCATCTTATGCCAATATGATTTCGTTGAATATTTTGGATTTTGAAAATTATTTCCTTCCAACTTTCACCATAATTTATTATGAAATGAAATTTACCATTATCGATCATGTTTCATAAATAATCAAAGATTGGCTAGCTGAATATATAGTGAATCAAATTACATATATAGCAGAATGATCGGATTCTTATCGATCATATTTCATAAATAATCATAGATTGGATATATATATATATTATATATAGTGAATTAAATTACACAGCGGAATGATCTGATCGGATTCACTCAATTTTAATTAATTAACTCGATCTCGCATTTATAATTAATATGAACACGTTTCCTTTTTACCAATATGGAAAAATGTAATAAGTCAACGCAAAAGAAATGGATTGATCAATTTTTTATGTGTATATAAATTTGCAGTGCAACAAGCTGTGCTGTGCATAATCAACATTCATCAGATTCATGGCATTGTACGTGAAACCCTTGTTGAATAATAATATATTTCTTGTGCTGCCCACAAAATTATCAAAATTATTATTATTAATTTTGATATTTTGTTTGATTTCTTTGAGTGATGAAATTACAATTACTAGTAAGAATAACAAAGTTGATAATGTTGGTGGTGGAATAACTGCTGATTTGATCCATGGAGACTCTCCCCTTTCCCCTTTCTACGATCCCTCGTTAACGCCATTTGAGCGTGTGAGAAACTCGTTTCGTCACTCTCTCGCTCGTCGTCGTTCAATTAGGTCAAATAATTCAAAATTGTCGCCACCGGAGGCATTTCTCACTCACATTTCAGGGTTTTACCTAATGAAATTAAGGGTTGGGGATCCACCGGTGGACTTAATGGGAATTGCCGACACGGGGAGCGATCTGACGTGGACACAATGCGCCCCTTGCTCCCGTTGCTACAAGCAAAAAACTCCAATTTTCGATCCCAAGAAAAGCAAAACCTATTCAACCGTATCATGTAAATCACAACAATGCCAAACGTTGAGATTCGAGAATCCATCTTGCGACAATACAACAAATGGCTGTCTCTACGAAACAATTTATGGCGGCGGGACCCACAGCTCCGGAGACCTAGCAACGGAAACATTCTTATTCGATTCAAATTTGCCGTTTTCTAAGGTCGCGTTTGGCTGTGGTCACAACAACTTTGTTGGGGAAGGTTTGGGAACGTCCTCTGGGATAGTCGGCCTCGGTGGGGGACCGGTGTCGATAATCAGACAGTTAAAGAAATATTATTCAATAGACGCCAAAATCTCGTATTGTTTGCCGCCTCCTAATTCCAACGTGTCGAGCAAGATAAATTTCGGGAGCAACGCAGTTGTTTCGGGGCCTAAAGTAATGTCGACACCCTTAGTGAAGAAAGAGCATGATACATTCCACTATGTTACTTTCGAGGGAATTAGTGTTGGGAATAACAAGTTGGCGTTCAAATCGAAAGAATCGAGAAAAACGGTGGAGGAAGGGAATATGTTTATCGATACCGGCAGCACGTATACGTATTTGACGACTGATTTCTATTTCAAATTCCTATCTGCATTGGAGAAAGCTCTAAATGGTACTCCTACGGCTAATCCAGAAGGAGGCTTCCAAGTATGCTACGAAAAACCCGCAAACGGAAAATTCAATTCTCCGACAATAACGGCACATTTTAGAGGGGGCGTTGACTTGGTCTTGTCGCCGGAGGGTACGTTTGTGGAGGTGAATAAAGGGGTGGTGTGTTTGGCTATGTTGCCTGATTTTTCAAATGACTTAGTTTTTGGAAATTCACAGATGATTAATTATCTGATTGGAATTGATCTTGAGAATCAAAAGGTTGATTTCTTGCCAACTAATGATTGCACCAACCCCAATTAGTTACTCAAAATAATGTCATATTTGACAAGATGTGTAATCTTTAATATTTTCATCATCTATTTTATGTTATAATCTAATCATCAAATTATAGTTCTATATAGATTCCCATTTCTATTATTTTTTTATAAAAAATAGTTAAGCTCTTTGATCTACGATTCGTTACGATTTACGATTTGTAAATTTAACAAAAAAATTATCGAATCAATTTACTAATTAACAATATTGGTTGTATAATTAGTGAAACATTAAATGGTGTAAATGTAGAATTTGATGAGTTTATTGATAAAACATAAACATAATATACCAATATAAGTTCTATTATACTCAAAAAAATTAAACATGTAATAGAAATTTGTACACTAAATTTCCTTATTACCGAATGAATCATATCAAATATGTTGGATCGGATCATAAGACTCTGATTCCTACACTCTCTGCATCGACACAGATTGTAAAATAAATCAGTGATTATAGTTATCAATACATACTACATAGTGATATATTTTCAAAATTAGCAGTTCTGCCCCTTAACTGAAATACTCTGCACTTTTTGACCATTTTGCAATATCAAAAGTTTCAACAAGTTAATTCTCTAATAATAATTTTAACATTATTTGGTATTAATATTTTCACACGTTAGAGTTGATAATCAACCAGAAAAGCATTCAGGTAACAAGACAAATTATAGGCAGGATAAAATAATTTGGACTCGATAATTAACTAGAAAAGCATTCAGGTAACAAGACAAATATGTTAATTGCCAATAATTATTTATTTAAAGAGATGATTAATTATTGGGCAACAAGAGTGATTAATAATCCAGTAAGTGAACAGAAACAGGGATTCTGACATTGTGAGTCACAGAAGACCAAGTGATGGATCCTTGAACATATCCTCCTGTTTCATTTTTCTTATTTTGTCTCCTAAATTCAACCTTATAAGTGCTGTTCTGGTTGAGTTGAGTAAACGTAAGCACCGTGGGCTCCACCGAGATGTCCACACCCGGAGCAGATTCAATTTCGACCTCATATGTCGAGTTGGCATTCCCGACGTTTGTGACTGTCCTGGAATACGTTACGCTTCCTCCTTTTCCGAGTTGGACGGCAAACGACGGGTAGTTAAGTTGTGCTTCGGGTATTCCTAAGCCACTGCAGTTGACTTTCTCTCGAACTATGACTTCCACTTCCTTCTCCGAATACAACGAACAGAGGTAAGATATGTAATCCTGACTCGTGATGTCATACACGAGTCCTGGATCAAGTGCCAGCTTCGGGTTTACATGCCCCGCCCCTGTGGCAAACACATCTGCCGGGAGATTTGTGCTTCCGTCAAGTATAGGCTTCTGATCACGGTTTAGTTGACTTGCAGTGGTCATCATAGCTGACTTGATCATCGCAGGAGACCAGTTGGGATGTGCTTTCTTGATCAGGGCCGCAACGGCGCTCAAATGTGGGCACGCCATCGATGTTCCGCTATCCATGTAAAAGGCAGCGGCTGGCTTTGCGTTGTCCACTGATCGGTACCAGGCTGCAAGAATATTGACTCCCGGACCAAGAATATCCGGTTTCAATATTCCTGGACTCGCTATATTTGGCCCCCTCGACGAGAAGGAAGCGACGGCAGGAGCCGTTACGTCTTGGAATGTCGTCCCTTGGAGTTGAATGGTGGCAAGGGGTGTGGCGGTTGAGTTGATGTACTTTTTTATTCGCTCTCCGACGAAGTTGCTCACGGAGATTGACGGAAGTGGCATGGCAAAGGATAGAGTGGTGTAGCCACTCTGCTCGTCGTTCATCAGAATGACGCCGGCACCACCGGCTCTTTTCACCGACCGTCCTACTCCGATGGGGTTGCTGGCTCCTATCACGCACAAAATGATCTTTCCTTTGACATCAACTTTGTCCAGACTTTCGGATTCGCAATACTCCGCCTCCTGGCCTGGAAAGTGAACTAACGACAATAACTTCAAAGGGAAAAAATTTCGGCCACCCACTGACTGGCCTTCAAAGAGTTCCCCATTTCCGAGACATGCGGTCGCTTCGATCTTCCTATAGGTCGTGCTCGAGCCGACCGTCAAAGTCCATGGGGACATGTTTTCCACGGAAGAAGAGTATGGGCCGTCATTGCTGGCCGAAGTGCTCACAAAGATACCATTTTTCATAGCGGCAAAGGCGCCTATGGCGGCATAATCCTCATACAGATGGATGACTATGGTGCCGATGGAAAGCGAGATGATGTCCACACCGTCTTCAATTGCGGCATCGAGTCCGGCCAGAATGTTGCTCTGGTCGCAGGACTCGATGTCGCATACTTTGTAGATCGCAAGGTGGGCATGAGGGGCCAGGCCGGACGCGGTGCCGTTGGCTTGGCCAAACAGGTTGGCGCCCGACACGAAATTGCCGGCGGCTGTGCTGGCTGTGTGAGTGCCGTGTCCTGTGTGGTCCAACGGCGGCAGCCCGTAGTCGATGAAGTTCCGGGCGCCGATAATCTTGTTGTTGCAGATTGGGAGATCGCATCGGCCCTTCCACTTGGCCGGCGGGGGAGGGACATCTTCATCAGAGAAGGAAGAATGGTTGGGCGTGATTCCGGAGTCCAAAACTCCGATAATCACGCCACTTCCGAATTCCGTTTGGCCCGGCCAGAAATCTTGGTTCGGATTGAGACCGAGGAATGACGGGGAGCTGGTGGTGTGTGGGGTGCAACGTCTGTCGGGGCTGGCATGGAGAAAGCCGGAGATCTTCTCCATGTCCGCCAACTCATCGGGAGTTAATTTCGCAGCGAAACCGTTGATGACGTGGCGGTAGGTGTGTACTATCCGATCATCACCTCCTTTAGGGAGGAAAGAGAGGTGCCAATCGGAGACATTTGTACCTCGTGGCGGAATCTCCACGTGGACAATGTAAGTCTGAAGAAGACTGAGGGTTGCGGTTGTCTGAAAAGTGAGGGTGGTGGCTATTGCTAATGCCAAGAACCAGACCACAGTGGTTGTGAACATTTTTGTGGTTTGTTGAATTTAGATATGAATTGAATGTGGGACTATACCAAAATCAAAGGAGGGAGATTATTAATGCATGGGAAGACAAAGTGTAATGGCTTGTGTTGAATTTATAGCTGCAAATTCTTATGATTATTATTAATCCAAATTAATGAATCACAATTGTTTTCTTTAATTAATTACCAGCTAAGCTAATTGATAATGTCACAAAGTAAAACTTGTTTTTACATTTAAGCTGGATTGAGACACACATTTTCCTAAAAATAAATGGCTCTTTCTAGAGTGAGATACTATGTTCCAAACTTTTATGAGATACCCCCTTTATATTGCGCTACGTGTCTCTGCCAAAAAATCCATTTTTTTCTCATTTACGTATTGTCGTAAATACCCTTTGTATAATTAATATTTTCAAAAAATCGGCCATTATATATTATTAATGTAATGTCAATTTTACCCTATATATTTTTAATGCAATTTTAAATATATATTTATTGCTGAATTAAAATTTATAATGTCAATTATATCATTATTCGTAAAAATCATTAAACCTTGCTGAATTAAAATTTATAATGTCAATTATATCATTATTCATAAAAATCATTAAACCACCCATCCAAAATTGCATCAACCTGAATTCGAACTCGTGACTATCTGAAAACAAACAAGAATACTTACCATTAAGACACAACACATAATTGACTATAAACTAACAATACGGATATATATCACAAAGCTACAATTTATAATGGTTATAAAACTTATATAAATAATGTTAAATAAATTATTAATTCTCATATAATTATTATTATTATTATATATTAAAAATATCTCATACTAACAAATCTTTATATAATATAATTTAAAAATCTAAGGAAATGTTGTTCAGCTCGTGTAATTTAAAAATGAGTTTCGAAAGAATTTGAAGTTTGAATTGAATCGTAAATTGGAAGATTTAATTAAATCGTAATATTTGAATCAATTAAACTCATGTGTTTTCAATTCAAAAACAATATTCAAAGATTTGATCGATTAAGCTCAACTCATTTCAATTCGTATACAATATTGAATATTCAAATATTTGAATCGGTTAAACTCAATAATTTACAATAGCGTATTAATCAATCTGTGTATAGTTAAAGTTTAGTAAACTTTTTTTTATTGAATTTTATCATAAAAAATAATAAAATTTAATTCGTAAAAATCGTAAGATTTAATATGTTCATGGCTAGATTAAATGTTACGATTAACGATATGATTTTTACGATTTTACGAATTAAATTATTATTTTATTGTTAAAATTGAATTAAAAGGATAGTAGACTTTAATTATAAATAGTTATCTCGATTAATATGTTCTTGTCATTGGTTGAACTTAATCGATTCAAATTTTTGAATAATATTTACAAATTAAAAGGATTTGCGCTTAATTGATTCAAATCATACGCTTTAATTAATCTTATGATTTGATTCTTGCGTAATTTAGGAATTATTTTTTTATGATAAAATTGAATTAAAAATGTATTACACTTTAATTAATAATAGTTAATTTGATTAAGACGTTCTTGTCAATAGTTGAGCGCGCTAATGAATCGATTCAAATATTTGAATAATTTTTACGAATTGAAAGGACTTGAGCTTAATTGGTTCAAATATTACGCTTTGATAAAATATTATGATTTACGATTAGGTTCTTACATGTGTTAGGAATTAAATTTACTATTTTTTATGACAAAATTGAATTAAAAAGATATTAGACATTACTTATAAATAGTTAAATCAATTATGTAACATGTTATGTCAATAGTTAAGCAACCGATTAAATATTTGAATAATGTTTACTAATTGAAAGGATTTGTACTTCATCGATTCATATCTTACTAGTTGATTAAATTAAATATTAAAAGAAAATTCACAATATAGTATTTGTAGTATATAATTTTATTTTAAAGTAAGAAAACTACTAATTTGAATGAGTTATAATTTTTTCTTCTTCTAAACAAACATATTATTTTATTTTGTATTTGTATTTGTCACACTATCGATTAAATATCATAAGTGAGTTTGAATTAAGTTATGTATTTTTTTATATTTAATTGAGCATTCTTTACATTTTTAAATGGTGGAGTTTATTAATACTTCTAATATTATATAATCAATGATAGATGTTTGGCGTATTGAACTGCAATTATTTATATTTTTAAAAATTTATTTTATCAAATTTGTTAATAATTTATTTAATATCATTTAATAATAATGAATGTTGCAATTAATATGTGAATTAACAGTATTTATACAATTATGGTTAAATACATCATAATAAATTAATGTGCTTGGATGGTTAGGAGTGATAAATGTATTAAGAGGTCACAAGTTCTATTCCTAATGAATGCATTTTTTTCGATTATTTATCAAATAAATCTCGGTCACAATGAATTTAAATTAATTATTTAATTAAAATATAGTAGGGTCTAAATTAGACAATTCAATGTTAATCAATTTTGTATTAATTTAATAAAAAAATAATCGAAGGATAATTTGGTAAAGTACTTCATTTTTTAGAACATAAGCCATGTTATTTTCCTAGGGTCCAGATTTAATCTTAGAAAATTAATGATGACTGATGCATATCTCAAATAAGTTTAGAACATGGGGATCTCGCCCTAGAAAGACCCAAAATTAACCATTAGCTTTCAATTAATTTACTACTCTTTTCTAGCTACGTTCATGGTTGCAACTTGTAACCTTTCTAATAAGTGATAATAATTCTAACTTTTTTTTTTTTTGAGACGTGCTATTTCCACCCTCAAAATATCTTATTTCACCACCAAATTAAATATTTTTCCAATTTTACCCCTTTCTTCTTCTTTCACCTATATTTTTCAATATTTATAAATCATCTACCACTAAACTAATTAAAATATTTATAAAACAAATCCCACCCTTTTCACGGGAAATCTCACCCTGTCCACCGTAAGTGAATAATACTTTTACGAGAGAAAAACATTTTCGAAGGTCAAAAATAGCAGGTATTCACTTTTTTGAGAAATAAATTAAGATTGATTGCATAGAATCCTGAACTTTTTCAAGAATTAGCCAATTTGACTTAATATAATTTTATTTCCTAAAAAAAAATTACATAATCTGTTTGTCATCTGATATGAAAGTTTAAATATCTTGTAATAAATATTTCACTGTAAAAAATCGAAAACATAATAATTTTTTTTTAAATTAAAAAAATTAAAAAATTAATAAAATAAAAATAAGTTAGAACACATGAGAATTAAATTAATATAAGGAAGAATGGTGGATTATAAATTTTAGGGGTATTTATGACATTTTACAATCTTTGGTGGTGAACAGAGATAATTTGGTGGTGGAAATAGCACGACTCTTTTTTTTTGTAATTGATAAAAAGGGTAAAATATCATAATGTTAGGAAATAATTTATAATTGGTTTTTTCTGATTTTAGGAGAGAAAAAGAAAAATCACATGTTCTGATTAGTGGTTGATTGATTTATTTTGCCCTGTTAATTACCAGCTGATCGAATAAGGCCACTTGCGTGACCAAGTAAAAGTTCTTTTTACATTTAAAGTAGATTAAAACACATTTTTCTAATTTTCCAAAAAAAAAAAAAAAAAAAGAAAAGGACACATTTTACTAAAAAATAAAAATGGCTCCACAAGTTTTAACTTTTAACCAGATGTGAAGAAAGAAAGAAAAATATTACTCCATCCATTCCACAATAAATGTTACCTTTAAAAAATATTTTTGTTTCATATTATCTGTTATTATGGAATTCTAATATTGTATTAAATTTATTTTTTCCTGTTTTATTCATATTTTAACTCTAATATTAATTCTCTATCTCCCATCATTTTTTTGGGATGTAATATTGATAACAATAAATACAGTAAAATAGTTTGAAATTTACATTTGCTTTTATTTATTTAATAATTTTTTTTTTTGGTGCTATCTTCTATTGAATATATATATTCAATAATTGGTTTCTTAAGATGGAATTGAAAGGCAAACAAGAATTATGTAGGCAAAGAAATAAAAAAAAAAAAAAAAACTTATTCAAATAACATTCTTCTTTAATGTATTCAATTTGTTTCATTAGCAAAAGTGTTAGTTTCTACAAAAGCAAAAGTTTTTTGTGGGTAATCCATTTTTAACACACAATTATTTGGCAGTAAGGAAAATGAAAAGAAATATATTATTATAGTTTTGTTTTTTTATTTAAAAATAAACAAGTAAAGAGATATGCATCAATTCTATGAATCTCAGTAATTAACGTAAATCTACACAATTTAACTCTCACAAGCAAATAATTACTTTTGTCATTTTGGGAATCAAGAATACGACTCCCAATACTAAATAATTATTAATTTCCATTTTCATAATCAATAATTATTTCATTTTTAAATACAAACGTAGCGTGAGGTTGAAAATTTGAAATGGCCTAAGCCTATAAGCTTTTTCTCCATTAGGAATTATTTAATTAATTATTTTCCATCACTGGATAATTTCGATAAAATCACTTAATTTCCAGTTGTAGAATATTTCTGTAAAATGAGTATTTATGTAAAACGAGTCATTTTCCTTTTACATTATTTATTTAGTAAAATGCAATATATTTGGGGCCTCCACTTAATATAATCACAAAATAATACAAAAAAACTTTGTAGTTGAGTTTGTCAATTGCTTCCTGGATTCATCTAAGGTCACGCGTTCGAATCATCCCTTCATCAACTTTTTTCCTCAGCCCTATTAATTCTATATTTTGTTGGGCTAAAAAGGCCAAATTAGGAAGTTTGCTTATAATTACATAATTCTAAGCCTATTGCCTTCAAAAACAAAAAACAAAAAACAAAAAAAAAGGAATTTCTCAGCCTATTAATTAATTTTGTTATAGAATAAACTAATAACTCAAGATATATAGAAAATTTAAGATAACAACTTTGTTGGAACAAAGTAACTCTCTGTATTTGTGAAAATTAATTACACATAATGAGAGAAGATGTCTATTCAAAGGTTCTTCTATTTCACAATCTTAATGCTTCTATTTATACATAAATTTATATAAAGCCTTGTCATTCTAATATTAATAAGAAAAAGACACTTAATCTTTAATACTTAGTCCACAAGTAATTGTGTGGATATATATTACAATACTCCCTCTTGG